CCCCAAAACCCCAAAACCCCAAAACCCCAAAACCCCTTTCAAATAATTTTAGATTGAAATACGTGTTTAATTTTTAAAATGGCAACCTTGTCCATAGATATTTTGTTCTTTATCTTCTGGTCATTCTGATTCTATAAGATCAACAAGAAATGTCCGATTGCGGTCTACCTTGTTAAAGATGTTGGTAAGTCTAAGGGATCTTATTGAAAAAATTTATTTTCTGGGTCTTTAAACTGTTTTAGTGTGCTTTTTCCCACCGATGGAAGAGGACAAAGAGATCATCACAACTGCTATCAAGAACAAAGATAAGAAAGGCAAGAAGGAGAAGGAGGAGGAAAAGCAATTTCCATTGAGAACATATAACCCAGACTTTGATCTGACAAAGCATATCAAGGAGTTTCTTCTGGAGTACGACTTCGTTATTTTGATGACATTGATTTCGTCCTGAACTTTTGTGAGCTCACAACTGTTTAAAATGTTTGCCAAAGAGGAGGTTCAGTCGACTTTCTTGTATTACTCGATCATTATTTTATTGTGAATGATAGTTTACTACCTGATTCGACAGAATATGTATCCCTTCGAATTCTCTGATGAGAATAAGATCTTGCTTGTGTTCGCTTTCAAAACATTTGTATTAAGTTATATGATCACTGGATATTTTTCAGAGTACTTTGATTTCAGACTTGAGAAAGGAATCAAAGATTTACAGAAGAGAACTGATCAAATTCTTAAAGTTACAGGTAATAGGTATATTTATAGTTATGATTCCTTCTATATTGGCCTTTCTGTGCTGTCCTCTCTGATTAGCTTGACTATGGTCCATCTTGCCATCAAATTTTCATACAATTTCTTCTACCTAAACAGGACAAGCCAGAATGATCAAGAAAATGAGGATCCTGAGATTGCTAAAAAGGTATCTGTGTACAAAGCGATGATGGGAGTTAACTTTTTTACACCTATTTTTGCGATCTTCCTGTTTATCCCAGCTCTATCTAAAAGCTTTGTCGTCCCTGAAATTATGACAGAAAGATCATTTGATTTGGTCAGAATGATAATTCTTCTTGTAATAATTATCCTCAAGTGAACAATGTTTTACTATGAACTGCAGTTTAATTTCAATGAGAGTTATTTCTATGTTCAAAGTCTGTTGAAAAATAAAAGTGAGAAGTTGTTCAGATACATCACTTTGAAGATGAAGCTTAAGTTCATTAACACATGGATAACCTGTTTCCAGTACGCAGCTATGGTTATTGTACCCTTATTGCTTGTTATATTGTATATGTACAAATATTTTGAAAACATGAGGGCTCCAGAGAAGATCACCTATGATTTCTCTGAGTATATCAACACTTTGCCTAAATCTGAATTTGTAGAAAATGAGCTTCCATCTGAAGGTAGCTTAACTGATGGAGGATTCATTTCAGCATTGTTTAAGAATGTTTTGAGATTCGGATTCATACCTCCCAGTCTGGAAAGCTCAATTTACAGTTACTTTATCTTCAGTTTCTATTTGTCATGGAGTATTGTTTCTACAATTGGTCTACTTTATTACAGGAAGTTTAAAACAGTATAAGAAAGTGATTCAATTCCAAATTCTGATCTTGGGGTTTTGGGGTTTTGGGGTTTTGGGGTTTTGGGGTTTTGGGG